GTTGACGTACTTGAGCCGATGCATGCTACGGCTGCCATGGCGCTGGCAGTGTCGCGACAGAAGCGCGTCAGGCCGGCTGCCGGCGCGGGCAGGGGTGGACAACGGGGGCGCACTGCGCGTCCGCCCCGCTCGCAGGCGGCCGCTGCGTGGGGGCCCGCCCCGCCGCGCACCCGCCGTGCTCGCGGCCGGGCACGGTGCGCGCGGCCTCTGACGCGATGCGCTGGAAGTCTTCACTGTCCGCGGGCACCTTGCCCAGGAAAGCGCCCTTAGCCAGCGGCAGCAGGGCTGGGTGGGGTGACGAGGGTACAAGTGTGCGGACGAAAGTGTACATGTGTGTGTGCGAGTGAGGGGTCGAGTTCTCACCAAGTTTCGGACCGAAATTTCCAGGCTTGAATGGCGTTGAAACGAGCCTCACCGTCCCACATGCATACGCGCCGTGGCGGGGGACCCGTATCGCAGCCTTGGAATGGCTCCCGCCCCTCCGAGCGCCAGCCTCCATCTTATGCCCCCCGGCCCCCGGCTCGAGCAGCAGGACGCAATCCCGCTTCATGCACCCCAACCTGCAACCCCCCAGCCACCCCGCCGGCCGCCGAGCATCGCCCCTACGCCGGCCGCCGCGCCGCCCTCCAAGGCGGCCCCGCCCAGATTGCTAACAACAGCAGTAGTACCACCCCCCCCCGCCCCCACACCCAGGGGCCGCGTGTGCAGGATGCCGCCCAGGGTGGTGGCCTCTGGCCCCGCCTCCACCAGGGCGCCCTCCCTCTCATTCCAGATGTCCAGGAGCTCCTTGGACGGCGCGGTGCCGATGAGGCCCTGCCGCCGTCAACCAGGGCGGGGTGGGTGCAGGGGATTACGACATGTGGCTGACGCGCCTTCTAGAGTGCAGTGTGTTGGATCGGGAGCGCGGCACGCTCGGCGCATAGCAAATATGGGGATGGCTCGTTTTGTGGGCCAACTGGCCGGCCGCATTCATAATCCAGACTGGGGGATCCTGGCGGCGCGGCCCCCCCCTCTTTGCACAACGCGAGGCCCAGTGTGCCCCCTCCACCCTCCCCTCCCCGCCTTCAACACAAGAGCCCCGCCTTCAACACAAAAGCCCCCCCCTCACCGGGTGGATGATGCCGGCAAAGCGCACGCCTGGGATGTGGCGGGACTGCGCATAGATCCCATCAAAGTGCCAGATGGCTGAGGGGGAGGGGGGGGGACACAACGCACCCGGCTGGGTTGCTCAGAGCAGCAGGTTCTGGTTAGCAGCACAGCATGACAGGAACGCAGTGGGCAGGGAGGCTTCAAGGTAGCGCCATGCGGTGACGCTCCCTCAGTAGGCTATTCAGGGTTCCGGGTGCAGGGCGTACAAAACAGGGCCGCCCATGCCAATCAGACGTACCCGACCGCCTCGAGCGCCTCGGCCTGCCGTCACGCCCCGTGCTACGGAGGCGCCGTCGGCAGCCTGACACCCTCTGCCCTCCTTGCGGATGCCGCAAGCATCGTCCACCTACCCTTTCCCCCAAAAACGCATCCCCACCAAGACTCACCCTTGCCGGCATTGGGGAAGTGGTCTGTGAGGAAGCCGCCCCCGTTGTCGCGGTCAAAGATGCCGGTGTAGCCCCACTCGTCGCCCGGCAGGGGTCCGAGGTTGCAGATCTCGACGCACAGCAGATCGCCGGGCTTGGCAGGCTCCCCGTCCTTGTCGACGACCTGCGCATTGTAATCGTGGGCACGTGACAAAGGGCTTGTTGGTGGGACATGCACACGAGGCTGCTAATTCCTGCAAGTTCTCATCATCGGCCCACTGTCAGGTGTCAACAATCTTGAGGGAGGGTCCCAGACCTGGCAGTCCCACTCGACGCCGCCCATGTCATGGCTGCGGGGTCATGACTTGATTGAAGGCGCGGAGAGCGGGATCACCCAGACCCCTTCTCCCCCCCTTGCGACCCCCAGCCGCACCCTGATGGGCCCCGACAGCCAGTGGATGACGGACAGGTCCACATTCTTCATGTCCAGGGCGCTGACGTCATCATCAGGGAGTGGGGGGGGGAGAGGGGCCGGTCAATAAATTCGGGGCGCGTGAGTGAGGGAGTGCGAGACTGGAGCAAGCACTCATGGACCCGACGACCAGCACTCATCCCCACCCAGACCAGCCCCTGTGCGTCGGCAACGCTGTTCCCACTGTGAAGAGGCTGAGCCATCAGGTGGCCTCTGCGCTGCCGACTGGGGCGTGCATAGGTGAGTGTTGCGCGGCGCCGTCGCGGCCGCGCCCACCTATCGTCGTCCTTGATCTGGCCGCCCGTCCAGTCGATGCACTCCACCCGAAACAGGTCGCCCTCAGTCACCTCAGCGACCTGGGGTCAGGGGCAGGGGTGCAGAGGTGCAGAGGTGCGCGCGTGCGCACGCGGATGTGGGGGGATAAGCTGGGGCGTCCGAAGCAGCGGCATGTGAGGGGGTGACCGGGTGGGTAAGAATTGCAGTCAACTGCATGAGGTGACGGATTCAGGGGTGCCTCTAAAAACCGGGCGCCTGCCCTGGGTATGCCGCACATTCGCAACCAGGCGATTCGGCTGCGTCCCGCCGCCCGCCGCCCGGCGCCTGCGGCAATGGGCAAGGGCGCCGGCGCGGGCGGAGCGGACGCGTGGTGGCGGTGCGGCCGCGGGGCCCATGTGACCGCGCACATGGGGGATGTCCGGGTGCCAACGGTTGTGCAGCGGCGTCTCCTGCTCCCACGCGGGCTTGGAGGGGTCCACTTTGACCACAGGGATCGGCGTGCGCGGCGGCATCTTGGGAAGGTAGGGGCGGGCTCTTGCAGCTGCGATCACATGTGCGCGGCCGGGGGCGCCGGGGGTGAGGCTGTCTGGGCAGAGTTCGGAAGCGGGCTGCCATCTGATGGGTTGCAGCGTCACGTAATTCAGCACGCGCTTGCCCGTGCGGGCGTTGCTGGCGACCCTCGTTCAGGTGTGGTCCCAAACATCAAAACGTGGCTAGCGTAATCGCTGTATACAACCGCGCACCTGCGGATCCACACAAAACAACCTAGCTTTGGCACATCACATTGCACATTGCAGCCTACGAGCGCATTTGGACCCTACATCGAATTGTTGTAACCCGGTGACACCGCAAGGGACAAAGCTTGCAAGCAGAAAATGCACTGCTTTGCCTTAGTTTCGGTCGATCGGTTCAGAACGCTTCAATAAACCTATTTGCAGGCAATCTATGCCAGCAGCCCGGTCCAGCAAAACTCTGCCCAGCCCAAGCCTGCTACCCCGCATTGTGATGATACAAGCATGGGGATCTGGTACAAAAGGCAGAAAATACACTCACCAGAGAGGTGCCACAATTGAAAAAGTTTTGTGGGCGCCGTCAGCCGCTGCCGGCGCAGTCAACGGCCTTTGACCACTGCTGTCTGGCTTTTACGTGAAGCATGTTACGCGGAGTTGCAACCTTCAATAAAATTCAAGTTTCTTGTGGCATAGATCGGCGTGCTGCTGCTTCGGCAAGCTCAGCGTCGCCCGCCCAACAGAGTTGTTTTGCTGCGGCAGTCCCAACAACAGTCCAAGCGCATCAGTGGGACACATATGCATTTGAGAGTGGGCCGGAGTGTTATGTGTTCCGCTTGTACTGGAGTATGGGGACGCATCAAGATATACTCAGGACAGCGCGCCACAGTTTATACTGCCTGTTACGGTAGTTGCTTCAGTTGGCACTCACCCTCTGAGAACACCCTAGAAGGCGGCGCATGCAGGCATGAACGCCGTGCGCTACGGCCATCACGATGCACATTCGCATGCGTTACTGAGCTATATATTGTCAGCGTACAGACAAAACGCACCACCCTCAGCTGCAGGACACGGCATCACATCGGCGGGTGTGATCTGGAGCCCGCGGATCGGGTCCGAAGAGTGTCACAGCTACATTGTCACTTCGCATAATCCCCTTCGATATCTCAAGAGGTGCGTGTCGAGATACGCGGTGGCTCTATTTGCGACGGTGCACAGCGCTCTGCACGCAGCCTTGTGTGCTCGCTCGAATTTGATAGGTCTGAGTAACGCGATCCGTTGCGGCAGCGTGGTCCTCTTGGTGGGCGCTTGAGGGGGAGCTCGGCGCGCACACAAGACTCTTCCAGAGACACGCACTGCACTTGCACGTGTTCGTCGTGCTTTCGCTACCATTGCATTATTTGCTGATTGTACACAAGCGATCGCCGGGCTGCAGGACCTCAGGCGGTGCGCCGCCGGGCGATCGCACACTGGCAGCGCAGCTGCCCTCAGCGCCGCTGCGTTTGTTTGTGACGAGAACCATACCGCGCCCTGCTGTGTCGGCGCAGGGTGCAGCAAAGATGTCTGTTTGCGGGATGGACGTCGGCGCTTCGGCGTCGTGTGTCGCGCTCGCACGCAAGCGGTGAGGCTGGGAGACGGGGTCAGGTTGTCAGCACCGCCGCTGCCACCGTGGCGGCAGCAATGATCGCTGCAACAGCAGAAGCGCTGGGGCAAGGCGCACGGCATGATGCATCCCTCTCCCCCGGTCGGACTCCAGGGTGTGGACGCTGACAAAACGGGGAGTGTAATTAGCCCACCTTTGACACACAAACACCACGCCGCACCCGCTCATTCGCTTGCGCACATGCACGCCCGTGTGCGTGCGTGCGTGCACGCACGCACGCACACACACGCGCACACATACAACCACAACCAACCACACACATCCACACACACACACTCTCGCCCCCAGTGGCATCGACGTGCTGCTCAATGCGGAGTCGGTGCGCGAGACGCCGGCAATGGTTTCCTTCGGGGAGAAGCAGCGCTTCATTGGCGTGCACGCTGCCGGCAAGGTGCGCCCGGGGCCTATGTGCAACAGAGAGGGTTGCTAGGCTCCGCAGATGCCAAGGGTCTATCGGGGTTGCCAGGAGTGCTGTGCGGCGCTTCCTGGCGCTGTAGTGGAGGGGACGGCGCGAGCGGGCGGGCCTCTTGCTGCAGGCGGACCTTCGGCGTGCATCGGGAGGCTACGGGCGCAGCCCAGCCGCCGTGATCTTGCAGACTGCGAGGCGGCCCGGCCCCCGGCTTTGCCGAGGCGGCGGCGGGCCTTTGCGCAGCCGCGCTCGCGGCGCCCGTCGGCGCGCAGCTTCACATTGCCGCAGTCGCCAAGGCTGCGCGAGCCTGACGCTGCTCGGGTCGGGTTGCCCAACCCTCCCGCTCGCAGCCCCCACCCCCAAACGCACCACCCATCGCCTGCACCCATTCCACGTACACCAAGGTGGCCATGAACCCCAAGAACACGCCCTACGAGATCAAGCGCCTGCTGGGGCGGCGGTTCCAGGACCCCCAGCTGCAGCGGGACCTGGGGAAGCTTCCCTTCAAGGTGCGGGGC